TCCTTTGCTTTTCATTTCTCTTCATTTCACAGCTATTTGTAAGGCCTTCTCAGATAACCATTTTGCCTTTTTACGTTTCTTTTTCTTGGGGATGGTTTTCATCTCTGTCTCCTGTACAATGTCACAAATCTCTGTCAATAGTTCTTCAGGCACTCTATCTATCAGATCTAATCCCTCAAATCTATTTCTCACTTCCACTGTATAAACATAAGGGACTTGATTTATGTCATACCTGAATGGTCTAGTGGTTTTCCCTACTTTCTTCAATTTAAGTCTGAATTTGCCAATAAGGAGTTCATGATCTGAGTCCCAGTCTGTTCCCAGTCTTGTTTTTGCTGACTGTATAGAGCTTCTCCATCTTTGGCTGCAAAGAATATAATCAATCTGATTTTGCTATCAGTCATCTGGTGATGTCCATGTGTAGAGTCTTCTCTTGTGTTGTTGGAAGAGGGTGTTTGCTATGACCAGTGTGTTCTCTTGGCAAAACTCTATTAGCCTTTGCCCTGCTTCATTCTGTACTCCAAGGCCTAATTTGCCTGTTACTCCAGGTGTTTCTTGATTTCCTACTTTTGAATTCCAATCCCCTAAAGTGAAAAGGATATCTTTTGGGGGTATTAGTTCTAAAAGGTCTTGTAGGTCTTCATAGAACCATTCAACTTCAGCTTCTTCAGCAATACTGGTGGGGGCATAGACTTGGATTACCATGTTATTGAATGGTTTCCCTTGGAAACGAACAGAGATCATTCTGTCATTTTTTAGATTGCATCCAAGTACTGAATTTTGGAATATTTTGTTAGCTATGATGGCTACTCCATTTCTTCTAAGGGATTCTTGACCATAGTAGTAGATATAATGGTCATCTGAGTTAAATTTCATGCAAAGATGGGCACAATAAAAGACAGAAATGTCATGGACCTAACATGTATGGATGTGAGGGTTGGACTATAAAGAAAGCTGAGCACTGAAGAATTGATGCTTTTGAACTGTAGTGCTGGAGAAGACTCTTGAAAGTCCCTTGGACTGCAAGGAGATCCAACCAGTCCATCCTAAAGGAGATCAGTCCTGGGTGTTCATTGGTAGGACTGATGTTGAAGCTGAAACTCCAATACTTTGGCCACCTGATGTGAAGAACTGACTCATTGGAAAAGAGTCTGATGCAGGAAAAGATTGAGGGCAGGAGAAGGGGATGAGATGGTTGGATGGCATCACCGACTCAATGGACATGGGTTTGGGTGGACTCTGGGAGTTGGTGATGGAAGGGAGGCATGGCGTGCTGCGATTCATGGGGTTGCAAAGAGTCTGACAGGACTGAGCGACTGAACTGAACTGAACTGAACTGAAATCACTGCAGATGGTGACTGCAGCCATGAAATTAAAAGATGCTTACTCCTTGGAAGAAAAGTCGTGACCAGCCTAGATAGCATATTGAAAAGAACAGACATTACTTTGCCAACAAAGGTCCATCTAGTCAAAGCTATGGTTTTTCCAGTAGTCATATATGGATGTGACAGTTGGACTATAAAGAAAGCTGAGGGCTGAAGAATTGATGCTTTTAAACTGTGGTGTTGGAGAAGACTCTTGAACATCCCTTGGACTGCACGAGATCCAACCAGTCCATCCTAAAGGAAATCAGTCCTGAATATTCACTGGAAGGACTGATGTTGAAGCTGAAACTCCAATACTTTGGCCACCTGATGTGAAGAACTGACTCATTTGAAAAGATCCTGATGCCAGGAAAGATTGGAACAGGGAGGAGAAGAGGATGACAGAGGATGAAATGGTTGGATGGCATCACTGACTCAATGGACATGGGTTTGAGTAAACACTGGGAACTGCTGATGGACAGCGAGGCCTACTGTGCTGCGGTTCAGAGGGTCGCAAAGAGTCAGATATGACTGAGCAACTGAACTGAACTGAAATCAGTATTAGGACAGAGATACCAAACTCCAGGCATTGGACTCCATTTGAAACACTATCTCTAATTTTTATTTTTTTTTAATTTGTATGTACTTTAAAAAAAAAAGTCTCCAAGCTGAAACATGCTTTGTGGTTTTAGGGTTAGCATTCCAACAAACAAATATCTGAGTGCCTACCATGCCCAGGTTCTCTGCTTCATATCTCTTAGGAAAACCCTCAAAAATATGGGTATACCTGGGAATGGGGAGCTGGGTGAGTTTTCTTGGAGAGACATTAAAGTTGTTGACTTGTAAAAAAATGCACAGTGTGAGAGTTTTACTTGAGACAAAATGAAAACTATAGCATAGGAGATAGCATTTCAGATAGCTCTGAGAAACTGCTCCAAAGAGGTGGGGAAAAGGTTAGTATATATGTGATTTTGGTGAAGGGGAAATAGATGCCATCAAACACATAGGTTTTGCAGAGGGTCTCTGCTAGTCACAAGGAGCAGTTGACAAGTGCCAATTTGTAGTTGACACAGTGTTGGTAGTAGGTCACATAGGGGGTTACCCCAAGACCCGACTGGACCCAACTGTGACCTTCCTTGGGGCTGTGGCTATCACCACAACCTAGGCAGGCTATCTGGTTGTTTGTTGCTATTCTTCTTCTTGTTGGACCCATACAGACTCCTATACTCTTTACCAAAATCCTGTAGGGCTAGAAAAGGACTTTTGTCTTGTCAAAGCAACTTTTTAATATTCATAGGGCTTTCCCTAAGAGAGTTTTCTGGGAAAATAAGGGATGGGGCCTCTTCTGTCGACAGGACATTAGCGTATGGTTAGCAGATGATTCTGAGCTCATGGTTCTCTCCTCTCTCTCATCCCCAGACCTGGTCCTCCCAGCAATGGGATGCAATTGGAAGACCCACCCTTCCAGCTTTGTGCAGAGTGATCATGTGAATGGAAGTAGATAAGGGGACATAGATGACTAATGTCACATCATATGATGCATAGTTTGAGGACCCAATCAGTTATTGCCAAAGCTCCTTCCTCTAAGGTCCCTGGAGAGGCTCTCTCTCTCTTGAGAGATTTGATCCAGTAGTCTGGGAGATGAACATTAATCACATTCCTTCACAGTACAAAGGACTTGTCCACACACTCAGATGTGAGAGAGCAGAGAAACTCACCCTCCCTCCCCAGTAGGAAGAACAATTAGCTTTCCAGGGGCCTCTGCCTCTCCCTGAAACAATATAGTGAGAGCAGTCTGAGATGGAGGAGAGGGTAGGTGAAAAGGATTTCTTCCACTGACACATTCCTAGCAATGTCCAGGAATCCCAGCCTCTTCCCCTAAGAGAAAGAGAACAAGGAAGCCTCATCAGTTACGAGGCCAGAGATTTGCCTTTCTCTTAACATGCATCACCGACTAGACAGACATGAGTTAGAGCAAGCTCCGGGAGCTAGTCATGGACAGGGAAGCCTGACAGGCTGCAGTCCATGGGGTCGCAAAGGGTCGGACATGACCAAGCAACTGAACTGAATTGAACCAACATGTTTCATTTTTTTCACATTGTATCAGCAATTATGTCTTGTGTAGTTTCATTTGTTTTGAAACTATCATTAGCTTTTTAAAGTAAGATGTCTTTGATTTTGTCCTTTTTCTATCTCTGCTCTTCCTCTTTCTCCATGACAGCCCCAAATACTTTAGTTAAAATTAACTCACCTTTCCTAAGAAGGTTGAGGGAATCAGGAGGGAAGAATCTGCCAGGAGGGTTTAGACAGCAGAGAGCAAAAAAAATTGTTTTAAAACCAAATTGAAAACTGTCTCTCTGGCTTCCCCTTTCTCTGTTCTTCACTTGGCCAAGTAAACCGCCTGATTACAGTAAACATCTTCTTAACAGATCAAAAGGAGCGATTTTTAAAGGGAGTTGCTTACTCACAAAATTCATTATGGTAATGCCTAGTCTTTTTCTGCGGAGCCTGTTCCCTCCCAGCCTCACTTTGATCTGCCACTGTGGCCTCTAGTCTGTTCCCGCAGCTCATCTACATTTTGTTGGCGGCTGACTTTTTCAGTAAATATGCCTCAGGTTGTGAACAGCCCAGCAGCATTAGAAGAGCTAGCCTAGAGACAGATTTTCCTTCCCATACCTTAAATATATGTATTTTTTTAAACAACAACGCATGTTAGATGTTTAACTCTTTCTGGTGTCAATGTAGAATTGTATAACCACTTTGCAAAACTGTCTGGTGGTTTTTTATGAAGTTAAATGTGTACCTATTTTTTAATTCTCCAATTTCATTCTCCCTTATTTGCACAACTGAAATTAAATCAAATGTCCCCCCAAAGACATGTATAAGAATGATTATTGCAGCTTTTTTTTCACAATAGCTGATAGCTGGAAATAGTCCAAGAGTCCATCAAGAGAAAAATCGATAAACCAACTGTGATATATTCATACAATGAAATAATACTCAGTGGAAAAAAGTAGTGAACTACATATGCACACAAGAATACAGATATATCCCATAAACATTATGCAAAGTGAAAAAAAATACACAAAATGCATATTGTATTATTCCATTTATATGATGTTTTAAGACACAAAAATCATTGAAGATGTCTTAGAAGTGTCACAAGGGAACTTCCAGGAGAGATCAAAATATTAGACTTATAATAGGGGTAAGGGATGCATGAATATATCCAGTCACTAAAAAATGTACAGCTGAAATTTGCTCATTTCAACATACACAAATTTCAGCAAAATGACAATAATAATAATCAAGTGAGAGATAAGGAGTAGGTAGAGATATAGATCATACAAAAATAGCAGAATGCTGATTGCTTAAGCAGGGTATTGGGTATAGAGAGGTTCAATATTGGATTCTATTTATTTTTAATACATTTGAAATTTTCTGTGAAATTGTTTCTGAAATAATTAAAAGCCAGAAAATTCAGTATTAGGGCAGAGACACCAAATTCCAGGCATTGGACTCCATTTGAAACACTATTTCTAATTTTTTAAAAATTTAAATATTAAAAAAAATTTTCAAGTGCTTTTAAGGGAAACGGTCTCCAAACTAAAACATGCTTTGTGGTCTTATTATTAGCACTCCATCAACAAACACCTGAGTGCCTACCGTGCCCAGGTTCTCTGCTGCATTCCTCTTAGGAAAACCCTCAAGAATGTGGATGTCCTTGGGAATGGGAAGCTAGGTGAGTTTTTTTAGGAGACACATTTAAGTTGTTGACTTGAAAATAAAATGCACAACATGAGTTTTATATGGGACAAAATGAGGACTATAGCATAGGAGATAACATTTCAGATAACTACCTCCCTGAATTCATCTCTTCGCTACCTTCTAAGAAATTCACCCTGTGGTTGATAGCTTTTTCACTGGACCTCTCATGTCTGCAATACAGGTTTCTTGTAGAGCATGGTTTGTTATTAACGATAAAACAAATTATAGTGTGCCAGCCTCCTAAACCTCAAAGTACCTTACAGATGCATAATGAAGAATCAGGCCACCTGGACTCTGCACCCAACAAAGCTCCCTGAACCTGTAAGAAGCCACCTCCAAAAAAGAGTAGTTTTGCCTGCACGGTCTCCCAGGACAGCTCAGGCTGGCAATGGTACTTGGAGAGGGCAGATAAGTAACTGGAACTCTAATTCATGATGAAAGAACTTGACCTTTGGGAAGGCGGAGTGTTTTGATCTCATTTCTGCCAGTGACTTACCTGGAGGGATCTCTCTATTGCTCAATGTCCTGCTCAATAAAACTGATAGAAAATAATCTGTTTTGTTTTACCACCTGCCTGCAGCCGCCAAGAGACCAGTGGCCCAACTCAGCCTCCTAAATGCCTTTTCTCAATCCTCACGCTCCCTGGTCTCTCTGCAGCACCTAGAACATATGACCAACCTCTCCTGAAATTTTTAGAAACTCTTTCCTCTCCCAGCTTTTATCATGCTAGACTCTCTGTCTCCTCACCTCTTATATATTCTTTTTTTTTTTTTTTTTAACCTCTTATATATTCATTTTTTGGTCAACGCTTTCAAATTAGGCTGTCCACTTCTTGGTCCCTCTTTCTTGTTTTCCTCCTTGATCATTAATGGAATTGTCTTCCCTGCTAATAACAAGGATGACGGTGAACAAGTAAACTCTATGCTGGCTGTGTTTTACATTTGCTATCTCCTCAAACCTCACAGATTCCCATGAACAGGGCAGGGCACCTCACCACATTGCACTGAGATCACTGCTTTCACATTCTGCTTGCCTAGATTGTCGCTCTGTGAGGGTAGGGACCTTGTCCATCTTAGCGCACTTTGGTAACCACCTGGCCATGGGAGGAGCTACAGCTAGAAATGGGTATTATTAGCCTTCTTTTACAGATAGCACTGTGTTTAATAGCTATCCCCGATGTTTGGAGTGATTTGCCCACAGTCACAGAGTTAAGAATGTCAAATATCTTCTAGTTTTCTGACTCCAAGCCCATTTATCTTCTTACTACTATAAATTGCAAAATATGAGGAAACCAGTACTTGTCTCTGTCATGCTGCATAACTGGCAGCCACACCTCATAAAAGCACTGGAGGGAAACTAGAGTTTATCTACTACTGTGTCTCAGATGTACCTGATCATAAGCATCTCTTGAAGTACTTGAGACTAATGTTGGTTTCTGGACTCCACTCTAGTTATACAAATATCCAGAGGAAGGGCCTAGGAAATTGAATGTTTAATCAGCTTCTTCCTCTCTGTCATTCTAAACACACTGCTTCTCTGGGGCTGTTGGACCTGGCTTCAACTCCAAAGGAAGAGGTGAAAGCTGTAATCCAAGAGGGACTCCACTTTGCCTACAGAGCTAAAGGAAGAGAGCCCCAGCTCCACATTTGTAAGTGATTCTTGGGTGTGTGTGCATTTATGCGTGTGCTCAGTCATTCTTTTGTATCCAGCTCCTTGCAACCCCATAGACTGTAGCCCACCAGGCTCCTCTTTCCATGGAATTTTATAGGCAAGAATACTGGAGCCGGTTGCCATTTCCTATACCAAGGGGATCTTTCTGACCCAGAGATCGAACCCATGTCTTTTGAGCCTCCTGCATTGGCAGTTGGATTCTTTACCCTTACATCACTTGGGAAACCCTCAGTAGGGAAATCAAGCAAACAAATTCAAACCAGTGGCTCTTCAAATGTGACCTCAAGTCCATCAGCATCACCCGGGAACTTGTTAGAAATGTGAATTCTCAGGCCCAGCCCCAGACCTATCGAATCCAAAACTGAGTCAACACTGACACCGACTTCTCTTCTGCAACTCTTTCCAATGTTAATCAGCCATGGTTATAAAGAACTTAAATCTCTTCCGTTCTTGAAGCTTACTTTTTTTTTTTCTTATTCTGAACCCAGCACTTCATAGATTTGGGTTTTATGTCTCTTGGTGAACCAGATAGTTGATGTTAACATTTCTTTAAAGGTATATTTAATAGTTGGTTACTTTATTTATTTATTTATTTACATAAAAGGGGTTTTATTTGCAGGGGAGCAGGACTCTAGTCAAACAAGCCAAAGCCCATGTCGTCATCCGATTCCTCCGACTCTTCCTTCTTCTCCTCCTCCTCCTCCTCTGCTGCGGCTGGAGCAGGACCTGCAGCAGGTGCTGCGGATCCTGGGGCAGCGGAGACGGCCACAGCCCCGCCCGCGGGCATACTGGCCAGCTTGCCGATACCTGCAGAGACCCAAGGGGAGGTGAGCCCAGAGCAGGCGTTCCGCCTGAACGTCATCTCCAAGTGAAGAGACACTATCCAGCTCGTTAGGGTGCATGTGAGATTCCCATTCTCCCAGACACTGGAATCCCCCCAGCACCCCTGCAGGTCCGCAGTGCCCTACCCAGGAGGTAAGCTGGACAAACGTGTTAATGAGCAGGCGGGTAAAACCCACCGTCCCAGTGTCCAGATCCTCAGCCCCAGCAGTGAGCTCACAGACACGGCTGCCTTTGCCCTGGACAAAAACAGCTCCCCAAAAGCTCAACTTCCAATCAAGTCCAGCTCCAGCCTGACCTCACAGGGCGGGGGCCTGTGGCCAGTCCTAGCCCCCACAGAAGAGCGGTGAGGCTTGTTTGCAGAATCCCACCGAGAGCACAGGCGCCCTGCCGCCCTGCCCGGGACATTGTCTAGAAGCGCCCATGGCCTGAGCCCATGGCAACGCTGCTCACTCCGCTGGGTAAGGCTTCTAGGGTGCTCTGGTCCACAAGCGAAGCCTGGCAGGTCACAGGCTGACCAGCAGGGATTAGAATGGACTGAATAGTTGGTTATTTTAGTGCTTTAGCGAGAACCTTTTCCACAGTGTAACATCCAGTCAAGCAAATATGCAAATGTTTTAGCTGTTCGGTCACCATTTTATACAAATATTGCTCTGCACTGAGCTTGGTACAAAGAACTCAATTGCTATTGAAACACGTATATTATCTAGGGTGAAACAGTTCACCAGCCCAGGTTGGGTGCATGAGACAAGTGCTCGGGCCTGGTGCACTGGGAAGACCCAGAGGGATTGGGTGGAGAGGGAGGTGGGAGGGGGGACCGGGATGGGGAATACATGTAAAAAAAAAAAAAAAAAGATACACTATGGTTGTGATAAAAAAAAAAAATAAAAATAAATAAATAAATAAATAAAAATAATAATAATAATAATTCTTTTGGCGTGGTCACAGTATGCTGACCAGAGGTCCTCCGTGGGGAATGGAAATCTCAGTCTCTCCTTTCTCTGTAGTCAGTGTGACTGCCTGGTTCCCCTCAAAGTCCTGTGAGCCTTCTTCATCCATGTTGGCCCAGCATGTATTGATACCTTTTGTCTGCCTTTCTCACCCACTGCCCAGATTTTGAGACACTGCCCTTCCTGTCTTTCATTTCATTTGGTTGCAATGCCTTCAACTCATTCAGATTTCTGATTTTCGGTTTCCCAAAGTGCCGGTGACCCCATTTTCTCCAGTTCACTGTCACAGACAGGTGCAAGGACTTGGGTGTCTCATCCTTCAGCTCCATTCCAAAGTAGAGTCCTTCGGGTCATCATTCTCCATCTCCCAGATAAAAGCTGAAGTCAGTTTCAGCAGACCCAGAGAACTCATGTGGATAAAACGGCAGAGGAGGAGAAAGGGCATAGAAGCCAAATTGAATCACAAGTGTGGGGGGTAGTCCGTTATTAACATGCATTAAGCACTTGGGCATGCTAAGTGCTTAATACATGTCAATAACTGTAATAATGAGACACATCTTGAGGAAATGGCATTGTGTTTATACCCTCCCCGCCTGGTAGCTATTTAACATGGTCAGTGGGACATCTGGACTCAGGCCAGTTGGTACCCAGTCTGATCTTTGCTAAGAGATGACTGCAGCTGCTATAGCTCAGGAAGCTCTTGTAATGATGCCCAGCGCCCAGCAGGGAGATGCAATTGTCCAGCAAATAGATTGAAGGAAACGACTAGGAATAGAGTTTCCCAGGCAGCATTTGAAAAGCTAATCCTTCCATTTCTAACAACAACTACAAAAGAAAATGAAGAAAAATGCAGTGCACTGTGAGAATCAATTGAGATGGGAAATATTCAATAATTTATAACACTTCTACAATGTGTTTCCTATAAAATTTAACCAAATTGAAATTTCATTTTTCTATCAGAGAATCTTCCTACCTCATAACTGCATGGCTATTAGGTATGTGCTTAGTTGGCTTGAAGACTGAAAGAGAAAACGATTATTGATGGGTTAGAGGTTTTCCATAGAAAGGGGCATTATTGAGGCGGTGTATGAGATGGAAAAAGAAACTTCTCGTGGCATCAGGTCATCTGGGTTTAATCATAGCCTCTCAAAATGATTAGTTTCATAATATTTGATGAGTTTCAAAATCTTTTGAAGCTTCAGTTGCATCCTATGTAAAGTAGGAATAATGATCCCTTTCCTACTCACTTTTAGAGCTAGTTTGAGAAAAATGAGATAATACAGACATATAGAAATGGATGTTCGGGTTTTGCAATAATAATGCTACGTAACAAACCCACAATTTTAGTGGTTTATAGCAATACTACGTCTCCCTCGGGGACTTTTAGACCAGCCGTGGCTCAGCTGATCTTGGCTAGGTTTCGTTTCAGTCCCCTTCGGTGCCTTTCTTTCTATGACCCAGGCCGCCGGTGTCATAGTCGTTTAGGTTATACTCTTCTCATGGCCATCAGCTGTGATACAAGAGAGCCAGTGGACCCTAACTCTGGCTGCTAAAGCTAAACCTGGCAATGACACTCACTTTAGCTCACATTCCACTGATCAAAGCAAGTCACATAGTCAGGCCCAGTATTGATGGAATAATGAAGTAGTCTCAGGTCATAGAAAAGCCATCACCTGGATGGAAGGGAAGGAAGAATTTTGAACAATCTACCAGAGTGCATAAAATTATTCTGAAAATCATAGGTAACATTTAGATGTTGGGGTGGCGATGATGATTACATTAGCCTTGCTGGGTCCATAGTCAGAAACTGTCTACAAAAGATAGATTTGGAGATTTGGAGGGAAAAAAGCATTTGAGCACACACTTCCTCCCATAAACAGTACAGTTCTTGATCACAGTTTCAAAAGATGCATCTTCAGCTGACAAAGCATGCATTTAATAACCAAACAGATACAGGTTGAAAGATACTAAGACAGGATCTGATCAGGGAACACAGCTTCTTGATTCTTCTCAGTCTCTCACAGGAGGGATGTTGGAGTTAGGGAATTCTGCTGGGTCAGAAGGAGGAATTGTCAGGACATAGGCAGTTCAGAGAGAGGGCTCACCAAGCCTCTTCTGCTACAAGTAGTATCACTTGGAGAGCCTGAATGGGGTTCTCATATAGTTTCATAAGCCATGTTACCTGGCTGTTCTATTTCCACAGCAGGTAACGTAATGACTAGTCACCCCACCTCATGCATCCCACCATGTACTCCTGGATATTCACTGTATCACCATGTACTCCTGTATGTTTATGGTATCACCATCAAAATGGCTCCTTTTTATTTCCAGCCACTTCCCTTATTTGCCAAGTAGATATCTAATGTACCAGTCACTGCTTATACATAACATTGACTAGATGAAGGGTACATGTGATCAGCCACCTCTTATGTTACCAAGCAGGAAGGACAGAGAACAAAGGGCCAGGCCAGAGCTCACACCCTCTCCACAAATGCTCCTTAAACTTGCAAGGACTTACAAACTGGAGGAAACCATGATATTGAGGATCAAATTCATACATCAACTTGGCAAATAAGGGAAGTGGCTGGAAATAAAAGGAGCCATTTTGATGGTGATATAGTAAACATACAGGAGTGCAAAACACAAATGGATATTTCATACACAAGGGTGGGCCAACTATGTACAAATGTGATTGGAAAAGATGGGGAATCCCCACAGTGAGGCAAATGCTTATTGTGACTTTTCCAAATGGCCTTGATCCCAGCCTTTCTAAAACAGAATACACATCCCAACCCAGGCCAATAACAACAAGCATGTAGAGAATGCACTTTTAATTAAGAAGACAGAGCACAGAAGAAAAAAGAGATTAAAAATGAGCATTCTGCAGTATAGACATCAGTTATCAAAATACAGTTTGTCTAGCGTCTATATGTTTTTATACTACACTTGGTGCTGAAGACACACGCATGAAGGTCAAGGTCCCCACTCACAGGAATAAATAGTCCAGTCTGTGTGTATAACCTCTGTGTGTACATGAAATCTCAGAGATGGGTGTGAAAACAGTGATTGCAAAACACAGTGGTAAGTGCTTGAATCAAGTTGATCAAAGTCACATCTGCTTTCTCTTTCAGTCATCATTTGCCCAAAGAAAACTGGAAAATGTGGGGGAAAGGACCAGCTAGAGCTGATTCAGATAATTCTCAGATTAGATTGAGTCTTAGACCAAACTAGACTACTCTGAGAGTGGACCTAGGAGTCCAAAGGAGATCAAAGTGAGCTAAATGGCTAGAAGAGCCAGGGGGAGAATAATTGTCAACACAAAAGTCTTTCTGAATTTTGGGTAGGGGGCATGCATGGTCTGTCCAAGCATCAGGTCAGTTCAGTTGCTCAGGCGTGTCCGACTCTTTGCGACCCCATGAACTGCAGCACACCAGGCCTCCCTGTCTATCACCAACAGGATGTGAAGATGAGGATGACATGCTCCTGTTCTCAAGATGTATGTGGTCCATGAGAGTTCTTGTGTGCATCTCATCTCCCTAACAATCTGTATGAAGCTCTGAGGGCCTGTGCTATGTTCCCATCCTTTTTGTACTAGTTCCAGCCTCTCGCAGAGTACGCACCCTGGAAAGAAACAACTGCCATGAGAGATAGATGAATAAAAAGAATCAGGAATGAAAAGAATATAGATGGATCCCAAAAGTCAGAACTTAAGCTACAGTCCTGGACTGTGATTGGTTTCCGAAAACATAAGCCCCTTGGCTTTTGTTTCTTGTCCTTGCCTCCAGTATCTCTTTTACCTGCTGAAAGCATGGCTTGGCCACCGTACTCTCTAAAGGGCCAGAAATGGAAAGGCACTGAAATGGTATTATGTTGTTATTCAGTCACCCAATCGTGTCCAACTCTTTGCAACCTCATGGACTGCAGCATGTTACTGTTGACTTAATCCTCTGTCATTATCATTTCTGTTAATCACTCTGGGTGTGGGATCAAAGAAGAGATGATGGTGGTTTAGTGGTTTAGTTGCTAAGTCATGTCCAACTCTTATGACCCCGTGGACTGTAGCCCACCAGGCTCCTCTGTCCATGGGATTTTCCAGGCAAGAACACTGGAGTGGATTGCCATTTCCTTCTCCAGGGGATCTTCCCAACCCAGGAATCGAAGCCAGGTCTCCTGCATTGCAGGCAGATTCTGCACCGACTGAGCTGTGAGGGAAGCCCCAAGGTAGAGGAGAAGCGATGAAAGAGGAAAAGTAAGTCAGGGCAAAGGAGAAATGGTCTGGCAGGGTTTGACTCTGCTCAAGAGAAGAAAGTAAGAATGGTATCATGGAGAAAAGCATGAAGCTTAGATTTAAACAGAGATGGACTTGACTCCTGACCCAGGATCTTACCATTGAGCCATCT